GGCCTCCTGTATAAAGAGGACCTACCTCTCTTGCTCGAGCTCTTTGCTCCCGCTTGGTCAAAGTGATTACGAGGTTTGCGCTCTTCTTGGAGAATTAATACCTTCCTGGGCCCTTCTTTTGGAAGCTGAAGAAATCCGTTCGCTTAAAGCATCATGTCCTTTCTCAATTTTACGGGACTTAAAACGGCCGGCAGCGAATTATTCTCTCAGTAATTCTTTTCCAGAACTGTATCATCGAAAACGACACTTGTCCATATAACTATATAATCTCTCGTCTTAACTTTAATGATATTTTAGTCATCTCTACGCTGCAATGCTTTTCTTTTTTCACAGACACCAATGTAGAAATCATATAAATTGCAATTAAACATTTTTTCCTTTTTCTTATCTCATCCTCATTATATTCGAAATAGGACGGGAAAGAAGAAAAACAACGGTTACATTGCGGAAAAACTAGAACCATCTGAAATGATTCGCAGTGTCGCGCGATGATCATAATTTCCCGTTGCCTTTCGCAGGCCTGTACATACGGTACAAGGCGAGGGAAAAATACGCCGCCTGTCAAGTCGAAAAGCTCGCGTTGGAGGAAATGATAAATATCGGTGCGCAGCTACGTGACCGGGTCAGTCGAGGATTTTTCAGGACGGCGAAAGAGAATGGATGTCGCGTCCGGGCGACGAGGATGCTTTATCGTGACAAATGGCCGCGGGACGAAAATTTGCCTAATTAAAACGTGGCGTGGTCAACACAGCCGCGCACTCCTCTACTCCGCATACGGTAGAAAGGGATTAATCCCCCCCTCGCTCTCTCCTCACGTCGTTGGTACGACGGAATTTAACCCTTATCCACCGCGCGCGCAACCTGGGATCAATGTGTTTTTATTTCGACAAAAAAGAGGCGGAGAGAACGAGAGAGAAATTACCAGATTGGATTTGTTTGTTTGTTCATTTCCTTCGTATTGTTTAAAATATCACTCTTTACGTCTCTTTCCTTTTCTTTCTTCTTCTCTCTCTTTATGCCATACGTTTCGCAGGAGAGAAATGGATTTATTTATTTCGTTAAGTCAGAACTTTTAAGTCTTATATATTTTAAGTACATCAAAGTAATCCTAATCTCCCGGAATCAACGCGCCGAAATTCAAGATGTAGCGGTGTGCTATTTTTATAATGTAGATCAGCACAATCGTATCATCTCTGACAATTTACTTTGATCCACAAAGGGATCCGCGATCCCTTCAAGTAAACCTCGCGCGTTTAATACAATCGATCATGCACCAATAATCACAACCGCGCCGTTTCCCGTCTCGCTGGGCCGTTTCTTCTAACTCGATAGCTTCTCGAGGACTCCGACGACGAGGTCCAATCGGTGAAGAACGCCGCTCGATAAATCCCTGGGCAATTCCGGCACGCCGAAAAGAGCCGCGGCCAATCCTGTCCCCCAACAGTCGATTCGCTCGCTCGACCACTCGGAAAAAGCATCCCAACCACTTTGCGGTATCCCCCTTGGTTTACTCGTTTTCTTGCTCTTTCTTTTCTCCTTCTTTCCTTGCAGTTCGCAAGCTCGAGGGTGGCCGTGCTTGCAACGGACGCGAATCTCGACTCGCGTGACAATTGTACCGATTCCCTTTGCAATTCGAATTTTTATATTCTCTCTATAGAATACAATTATATTTATAATTATACATTTATATTTAAATTATATTTTAAATCATATTCCAGAATGCAAATGTGCATTAATAATTTCAAGTGCATTTACATTTGTGTCGAATAAATAAAAAGATGCCGTTTTATTCATTTTTGACTTGCGTATAAAAATGAATCATATACGGTTGAATAGTATTGCAATTTTCGTCGATTTTATGTATAATATAGCCTCGTAATTCTATGCGCATTGTGTTCTGTTAAATAATCTGAAGCATGAAAGAAGTTAATGTTTCCATGAATGCGCGTGCAATAATTAGTGATATAACTTTATAAATTCCTAGTTTACTACGAGTATTCTACTCTCTTTCCTGCTCTGTTTTATTTAAATTAAAACTACACTGGACCGGCAATTAATGAAACTGAACAATTTAATTTGAAACTCTGTTTCCACTTGTGATTCATCATACCGTTCCGGGTATTATCTTCCACTTCATCTTCACTTCAAAGTACGACAACCACATTCGCGTAACTTTACAAGTGTACGCCTCCATTTCACCTTAATCACTGAATTCATCTTAATTAAATCAAATGTATATCTAAATTAAAAGTCAAGTTTGAGTACAAATCGTAAGAAAATAATGTGTCATCATTGGTTGTCTCTTTCGCCACGATTCAAACTCAAATACATTATTTCCGCTTATTATTTTTAATATTATTCTTACGTAAATATCTTTCTCATTTTAATACTCTTCTCTCTTGATAACAATAAATTATAAATATTATCCATTTTCAATAAATATCATTCTTTTTATCTGCTCTTCCTAAAAAAAGAAAGGGATACTTTAACTTTTCTTATCAAACGCAATATACTATTATTGCCGTTGCAGAAGATAATGATGAATTCATGAGAAACATAGTTTAATCCTTAAAAACGATAGTCGCGTTGCATCTGCACATATAGCATTCACGCGTAATAACCGCGATTCGATCGTGCGAACTCTCACACACAAGTCACGCGGTTGAGGGGGGCTAGATATATATATATATATGTCCGGAAATTCTCTCTGAAAGAAACGAATACTGACTGGCGCGCGCGCGGAAGAGGGATGGGGGATGGGGGATGGGAATTAAATAAAAATCACGCGAATCGTAGATTTGGACTGCGCGCAGCCGGAAACGAGATGAGCACCGAGCTCGCCTGCTCGCTCGGCTGGTCCTCCAACTCTGCATGCGAATGAGGGAAACGCGCGGTACGGGAACGAAGGGTGGAAGAGACGCGAGAGGAGAACCGCGGGGGGAAGGGTTACAGTTCCCCTCGTCGCCGAAGCCAAGTCGAGCCAAGAAACGGAACGGAAGGAAGACTGCATTTATTAAACTGTGCGCAGACGTGCACACCTCCCTTCCCCCGCATCCCTGTCTTCGTTCGTCTTTCACCCCGTGGAAACTACGGGCTTTCGCTCGGGCAATCCCTCCCCCCTAGACTTCTCCTCTATAGCCGCTCTTTTCTCCAACCCTCCTCCCGTTCGTAATTCCTGGCCGCCGCTACTACCTCCGTGGAATGAGGTCGGTATGTGTAAAATAGTGCTCCGATACGCTCTTTATCACCGAGTCGCTTCTTCACCGCTCGCTTTATTTCTTCCTCTCACTTTCTTTCGGTCCCTTTTATCTCCGCTATACTCTCCATCTTTCGCGCTTTCTCTCGAACGTGTTTCTTCTGGCTATTGTAAATATCTGCCGCTTTGCTCTCATTTTTCTTTTTTTCCTTGATCTTCTTGCCTTTCTTCTTGATCACCTTGTACCTTTTTTCTACTTTTTTTTTCTTTTTGCTTACTTTTCTTGTTCCTTTTTTCTTACATTTCTTATATATTTTTCGATCTTTTTATTTCCTGCTCTTATTTTTCTCATCTCATTTTTTCTTCGAACCTTTTATCTCTTGCCAACTAACTGTTACTTCCTCTTCTCATTCTATTTATGTCTTTCTTATTTTTTTCGGTTTCTTTCTTCTTTTTGTTTCCCCATCGGTTTTCCTTGAAGAATCTCTTTCTACCGCTTTTCTGGAGCAAATAATGTCATGCACTAACACGACTACTATGTGGGTGGTCCGACCGTGCTCGGTATTTAGGCTTGTTCCACATCCACCGACGAGAATCATCATCGGTGAAAGCCACCGCGCCGGAAGTATCGATCGACCGGGCGATCGCGGATGACGAATATGCGCTGGGCGTATCGCACCCCATGCTTCTCTCTCTCTCTCTCTCTCTCTCTCTCTCTCTCTCTCTCTCTCTCT